CCCATGAATGCCGCGAGTGTGGGAAAACCTTCGCTTGGAGCTCAACCCTTATTGCACATCAGAGGATCCACACCGGAGAGAAACCCTATAAATGCCGTGAGTGCAGGAAAACCTTCGCTCGGAGCTCACACCTTATTGCACATCAGAGGATCCACACAGGAGAGAAACCCTATAAATGCTGTGAGTGTGGGAAAACCTTCGCTTGGAGCTCAACCCTTATTGCACATCAGAGGATCCACACCGGAGAGAAACCCTATAAATGCCGTGAGTGCAGGAAAACCTTCGCTCGGAGCTCACACCTTATTGCACATCAGAGGAGCCACACAGGAGAGAAACCCTATAAATGCCGTGAGTGCGAGAAAACCTTCGCTCAGAGCTCACACCTTACTGCACATCAGAGGATCCACACAGGAGAGAAACCCTATAAATGCTGTGAGTGTGGGAAAACCTTCCATCACAACTCTTCTCTTATTTATCACCAGAGAAGCTGCAAGGGAGATAAACACCATGAAAATCTTGTCTAGGGTCTCAGAAAAGATTGTTTTTTCCTTTTGCTAATTCCCAGGTAGTGAACTTTAAGGCAGCATTTGTGGCATCTCAGCTCCTTCAGGTGAGTTGTCTGCTTTTCTCTTTTGCAGCTCACCTTTCCTTGGAGTGAAGCCCACAGTGTTTTTCATCAACTCCTTTGTTCTGTGTCATGGAAGTGTGTGTCCCTCCAAGAGGAATGTCCGTCAGCCCCAGGTGGGGGAACGAGGAGTGACCTTTACTCGGTACATGGAGGTTAAATCTACCTGGGCCTTGACTCCACTAGGGTTTTCCATGGAGTTAGCTAGATTGAGTTAGCGATCCTGATATAAAAACACAACTATTTTTTTCAATAAAGAAAATAGCCCATAGAGCTGCCAGGGTAATGTAGCAAATTTCCTCACCACCGGATATAACCTCCATCATTTTTCCTAGTCTAACCAAATTTGGAGCATCATGTTTATACTTTTCCTTCCACTGCACAGTGATTGTTAGTCACCAGGACAGATTGCCTCATTCCCAGTTGTTCCCACGTTGCACTGGGTTCTGCTGAATAGCAGTTGGGTTTTGTACCATTTTTCTCCTAAGAACATAAGAATGGCCGTACTGGGTCAGACCAAAGGTCCATCCAGCCCAGTATCCTGTCTGCTGACAGTGGCCAATGCCAGGTGCCTCAGAGGGAGTGAACCTAACAGGCAATGATCAAGTGATCTCTCTCCTGCCAGCCATCTCCACCCTCTGACAAACAGAGGCTAGGGACACCATTCCTTACCCATCCTGGCTAATAGCCATTAATGGACTTAACCTTCATGAATTTATCTAACAGGGTTTAAAAGAGAACTATAGCCTTCACAACCTCCTCAGGCAAGGAGTTCCACAGGTTGACTGTGGGCTGTGTGAAGAAGAACTTCCTTTTATTTGTTTTAAACCTGCTGCCCATTAATTTCATTTGGTGGCCCCTAGTTCTTATATTATGGGAACAAGTAAATAACTTTTCCTTATTCACTTTCTCCACATCACTCATGATTTTATATACCTCTATCATATCCCCCACTTAGTCGCCTCTTTTCCAAGCTGAAAAGTTCTAGTCTCTTTAATCTCTGCTCATATGGGACCCGTTCCAAACCCCTAATCATTTTAGTTGCCCTCTCTGAACCTTTTCTAATGCCAGTATATCTTTTTTGAGATGAGACCACACCTGTACGCAGTATTCAAGATGTGGGCGTATCATGGATTTATATGGGCCAATAACATAATATATTCTCTATCTTATTCTCTATCCCCTTTTTAATGATTCCTAACATCCTGTTTGCTTTTTTGACTGCCACTGCACACTGCGTGGACGTCTTTAGAGAACTATCCACAATGACTCCAAGATCTCTTTCCTGATTAGTTGTAGCTAAATTAGCCCCCATCATATTGTATGTATAGTTGGGGTTATTTTTTCCAATGTACATTACTTTACATTTATCCACATTAAATTTCATTTGCCATTTTGTTGCCCAATCACTTAGTTTTGTGAGATCTTTTTTGAAGTTCTTCACAGTCTTCTTTGGGTTTAACTTATCTTGA